TAGGAAAATTAAATTCACCTTTGATCTGCAGGACAAGTTTGGGGTGAGGTCAATCAGGGACAATAATGATGAGCTAATGGGTGCTGTGTACCTACAAGTTAGTATCATCAGTCAAGCGCTTATCTTCGTCACGAGGTCAAGGAGCTGGTCGTTTGTTGAACGTCCTGGGGCGCTTCTGATGATTGCATTCGTCATTGCACAACTTGTAAGAACATCAAATACTCATATTTTCAGGAAAGAAAGCCATTGAATGAATTCCTCTCACTCTTCTTCCCAAATGCAGGTTGCGACTTTGATTGCAGTGTATGCGGACTGGACATTTGCAAAGGTTAAGGGTATCGGTTGGGGATGGGCTGGCGTGATTTGGATTTACAGTATTGTAACATACTTCCCACAAGACCTTTTGAAGTTTGCCATTCGATACATCTTGAGTGGGAAGGCTTGGACCAGCATGTTTGACAACAGGGTACACTAAAAAAATTCTCTCTGATCGCTGTTTGCATCCTGATCGGTAAAAATCTTATGCTAATTGCTTCTGCTTTTACTTTTAAATAGACTGCTTTCACGACCAAGAAAGATTACGGTATTGGAGAAAGAGAAGCTCAATGGGCACAAGCTCAGAGGACACTGCACGGTCTGCAGCCAAAAGAAGAGGTCAACATCTTCCCAGAGAAAGGAGGTTACAGAGAGCTGTCTGAGATCGCTGAGCAAGCCAAGAGAAGGGCCGAGATAGCTAGGTAAGTACTTTGATTAAATCGATCTCACAATGGAAGAAACTGGAGTTTACTTGATTCTGAAGTGAATACTTTTTGTTGTGACAGGCTTAGGGAGCTTCACACACTGAAGGGACATGTGGAATCAGTTGCAAAGCTCAAGGGCTTGGACATTGATACAGCAGGACATCACTACACAGTGTAGTTGTAGTTGAACACAGACTGTACCAAAACCAACCACCAATCATGACTCCTCTTTTGTATTTTTTTCTTCTTCTTCACAAGTCTCTCTTTTTAAGATCGTAGTAGAGGGAAGAGTACTTCTGTGTATTGCCATAACTCTTCCAAATAACTATTTTCATTGTTAGTCATTGTTCTTAAACTTCTACTTCGAGCTTCGCAAAATTTGCCTTTGAAGAAACAAGGCTCTTGCCTTGGGTGTTTTGGCACTTTGGCTACACCTTTTTTTAATGGCCTAATGTGAGCTTATTAACTATTATTACTGTCGCGTTTCTGATTTATGTTTCTTTTATATATTTAATCTTGATATCCTTATATTTGAACAACTTTAAACCCGCCCTACGGGCGGGCGAATAAATAAACTAATAATACAAATTTGTTTTGTTTGATTTTTTTCTAACTTAAAGAAGCATTCACACTCATAAATTTCTTACAAACATTTTACTACTTATTTTACTATACATTTTAAAAAAATATACTCCATTTGTTTCTGAATAAGTATCATTTTGACAATTTTCACAGAGATTAAGAAATCATTTAGTTTTGCATGTTTTCCATATAAAAATATCATTACCGATACACCTATTCCTAATTCAACCAATAAAAAAATAAGCTGCAGAATAAAATTAATAAATTCTGCATCAAAATCCTAAAACGACACTTATTTTACAACGAAAAATTTTCTCTACAACGACATTTAATATGAAACGGAGGGAGTAATAAGTTATTTTCTCTCAATGTTTATTCTAGTTTAAGTAATCATTTAAAATATAAAACTATAGACAAATATGATTGTTCTTTAGTTTAGAGAAAACAATACTGAGAAGGTGTTGTAAAATAAATAACAAACATGCTTAACAAACAGTAGCTACTGCGTCGATGAATATTACGGATAACATATAAGTTGTAATTCATTAATGATATTTGTTTGTAGCACCGTTAATGTCAAAAGGTGGATGAGTTAATTTTGGAATACAGTACATCAACGGGATGTTCATTATATGTGGGCAAATATGATAAGGATATCCAAATATAATATAGTCTTGATAGTTTAAGGGTAACTGTCAACGGCAGATGAAGTTTAAAAAAACAAAAAAAAAACAAATATGCTTAAGCATTAGTCTAGTAGCTGTTGCTGCGTTCCTTCTTAGATGGCCTTTGAAGACGTATGTAGCAGAGAGTTTGTGGCCGATAGACCACCTTTGGTTGTTTCAATAACTGGATTTTTCTCATTTTCATCACCGATATTGATCTTGGGCTGGCTGTGAAGGCGCTACTCCAGGCATATTATCTCCAGGGCCGCCATTGCATTCATGTGATCACTGAAAAAGATTTTTCATTTCAATGCGTGGCAACAAAAGTTACATTATATGTGTTTTTTAACTCGCATTCTTCTCGGCAAGTTAAGTGTGTAAAATTCTAAAAATGGGAATCACCGCCTACAATCTTCGATTGTATGCTCATTACAACATCAACTTTCGTGTCAACACATAAGTGTTACAAATCTTTGTAAAAGGAAGCAGGCATAGAGACAAAAACGCCCAAGGAAGCAGATACACCTCTGCGAATTTCAAACCAAGTACGTGACGTTAACATGTTTTGATAATTCTACCTGATTTATAATATCATAGAGGTCTTCATAACTAAAGTTAAAACAAACCTGTTGATTCTTCTGGTAGCCATTCATTACACGTGCTTTGCCTTGTGAGAGTCATTCCCAGCACTCCTGATAGGTATTAGTTCACCAATAATGCAGAAGGAAGATGAACATTTTTAATACTAAACCGGTTTAGACTGTAAAGTGGGAGTAGCAGAGTTTGAGAGGGTGACCAGGAAGATGCGTGTTGGTGTTTTCCAAGCGTAGCTGCTGTTAGTAATCGCCAAACCAAAACAGCTCTTTAGATATCGTGCTCAACGGTTCTGTTATTACGGCGAAGGCCACCAAGTCACTGAAACGTATTGACCGAGGACAGTTAGAAGTTGAGGTAGCTCTACATCACCTCGAACATGCTCACAGCGTACATCAAACCAGCCTGGAAAAGGTGTTTGAATGTATTCAAAGGGTGGCTTTGCATAACTAACATTTCTTCAAGAAAAAGGAAAACTATTGATGTTTTGTTCATCGGAATTATCTTACCTTAACGGAAGACTTGTCGCTGGAATTGTTAAAAACACTATAATTTTGAGATTTAAGATCTGACAAACCTGAGCATCAAGGAGGAGGATGTCAACCCCATCAACTCCCCACCAAGCTTGACATTTCGAACCTCCTAGAATCTTAGCAATCGGACCTCCACCACGGAAGAATATCGTCCTTAAGATGACGAAGAAGAACAGATGAATTTGCCATTCTACTGGGTTTGAGTTTTTTATAGCATCAGAAACTGGAACGATGATATTCTGGGGATTAAGGACTACCTATTTATAGGTCTGAAACCACCGCCTTGAACAGGGAAAAGTAACATTGAATGGAGTTGATAAGTATTTTAAAGGCAATGAATGTGGCTTCGAAACGTCTGAAAGGATAACACGAAACAACTGTAACAAACGTAAGTCAGAGTCTGTAGACAACGATTCGTCTCTTTGGGTTCTCAGAATCTCCATTGTTGTTTAAGCTGATGTCAGATCGAGGAAAACAATAACACCCTAATTTCCAATATTGTCGCTGGCGAAAAAGACTATCTTGCTATTGGCCTGCATACTCAATTTCATGAGGAACAAAATAAAAGGCCATTTCGTGTTGGAGGCCCAAATAAATGTTAGTTATTTGTAAAGCCTCATCGATAGAACAATAAACGAAAGAAGCTAATTGAATATGTAAAGCGCCACGTGTTACTATCATAGAATCCTAATTAGTGACGTGGAGCCCTTAAAATTGAGGGAACTTTATTTTATATATATAGATACTGTTTAATTTACTCCTAAATTAAAACACGATATATATATATATATTTATATTTCTTTTTTTTAACATCATATATATTTTGCTTATGTACAAAGATAAAAGATGTCTATCATGTGAGATACATTGAGATTGTAGTGGGGTTTGGAAAAGTCAAGAATGACTTCAAGACACGTGCAAAGATATGGATGATGATTTCAAATCGTACCACTTGCTCTTTGTAATCCATTGTGTCATTATTCCTCGAATTTATTTCACTTTCTCTAAGCCTTGAATCATTTGTATTGAGAAGTTATGAGTAGCCTTTTTTTACTTGTGTGTGGTGCACTAAGGGTATTTTTTTCCAAGTTGTTTTGTTATAAGAAGTAATGAAAAAGTTATCAGCAAGTGTATATATGATTATTATATAGTATATTGAAACAAAAAGATTATATAATTCATAAATGAAAAGTAAGTTGAAAATCCCAATGTACTCAAAATACAACAATGCAAAGTGAGTCCGTGTTAAATAATCAATTTTATCTTTGGTTTATTTTGTATACTTTAAAATATCAACTACAATAGTATTATTAAAACTTTCTTAAGAAAAGGTAAAGAAGACAAAACAAAGGATTTGGGTTACACATGCTGTTTTTTGGATATATCACAAGTTCACAACCAGCCTCAATTTCACATCAACAATATGATCAGTGAACATATGATGACATGCACAAATAAATATAGTTGGGCATAAGCGAGCTTCTAAAATTCATATTTTTCCAAATTGAAACTTTCAATATGTCAAAAGGAAACATAAAACCCCACACTTTCGTTATAAGATTTTTTTTTTTTGTCACTGTCATTTACGTTAGAAGATAAAAACATACTTGAGAAACAATCTTTTTAACGTCTGATTAATTATGATATTAAAATGAAAATATTATATAGAAGATTTTACAGCTAACAATTTTATCACCCTATGAAAAACAACTTTAAGAAAAAGAAAAGTTTAGTTTTGAAGAAACATATGTAAGTTTTTGAAAATGTTATCCGTAATCATATTTTAGAGAAGAATTATATGTTCACTTTCTTGAGAGTTAAAAATAGCCAGTTCTCTTTGTTTAATGTGAAGGACAATGCATGTGAAACATTTCATTATACAATAATCAAGAAATATTATCTTGAACAAGTGATTTTAAAACAATCATCTGCAACTCAAGGCATACAATGTAGCTTCCGACCTCACTCAACATATCCTCCATATTCATCTCTTCTCCTCCTGGCAAAAGCTTTTGCAATTCCTTCAGTTTCTTCTTTATCTCTGCTCCTTCTTCTTTGCCGTCTTGTTTATGACTAGATCTTTCTAGAATCATGGACGAGTAACTAGGATCTTCATGAGGGGAAGATAATAGATTGTGTTGCAAGAAACGGCTCCACGCAAATTCTTGAGCAGACAAAGCCAAAGCCATGTCTACTTCATGTTTCACGGTTTGCTCGAAACTTTTGCTGTTGATTTGTGAAGAGCATTTGTTCATGTTGATCTTCTTAAGAGCTGGAACCAAGTGACTAGCGTATCTTCTCGCAAAGACTGCCTTCAAGTTCTTCTTTTCTTTGAGAGAAGAAACTCGTTTTCTTTTGGTTATAATTTGCCTCTCCATATGATAATTTGTTTGCTTCGTAAGAAGTCGACAAAATAAATACTTATATTTATAGCAAAACTCAGAATATGGAGAGAGCAAGAGAGAGGGAGAGATCCTACGATTGTTTATAATGATATGTTTTGATGTTGTGGAGTAATGTCTATATATATAGGTAAAGCTCATGTGATGTTCAACAAAATCACACTTTATGAAGTTAATTCTTTGGATATAATGACTTAATAAGTTTAAGAATTTGACTACTATTTAAATATATAAAAGAAAATTTCAATATGATTGAGTTTATGTCGGCAAGTACTCTCTAGTTACGAGTTCTATTCTCTTATGATTAGTGAAACTATGAGTTAAATTATGTTATGAATTAGACGACCCCTTTTTTCTTTAGACACTATTTGTTCTTTAGACACTATTTGTACAACTTATAACAGAAAATATTATCAATAAGGTTAATAACCAAATTTGGACACAATATGTAAAGATATTTTAGTATAAATTTTTGCCATTTTTAAGTATTAAGAAATTTTTTTAAGCAGTTCAAGGATGATATTAATTGATCATAAGATTACAATTGTATTTACTTAAAAGAAGGTAATTAGGTTAGACTAACACAGACAATAATCGGTATAGCATCTTAGAAATGAATTGAGAGATGATTCAGTTAGAGGGAGAAAATTAAGGAGAAAGTAAATAATGGATGAAGGAAGAAAAACACACACATGGAGTCACATGGAAGAGCTCTAATTTTGCATGCATCATACCTACCCTAAAAGAGAGGTGGCTTGAGTTCCATCTTTACCATGTGACTCCATTACCAGAATATGAAGACATCAACACTCAAAACCCCACCTCCTATTAATACATTCACATGTCCCCCTCTCTCTCTCTTTCTGTACACACACACATCCACACATATTTGTATAGTTGTATGCTGTCTGAGTCTTTGAATGTATACATGTGTGCATGTGTTTGTGTGTCCTTGATTTTACCCATTTGTTCTCTCTTTGTTCCTTACCTCTAGTTTAATTACTCCCCTTCGATAATTCTCTTTAGCATGTACTTGTGAGGAGGACCTTAGAATTATCAGTTTCACTACCCACATTTTTTCATTTTCTTGCAATTTAAAACCAAGAAAGATAAATTAACTTAGTTAATATCACTGTTGTTATTGATACAAATTAAACCGCTTATGTTGATAGATTCAATTTTTTGGTAATACATATAATTCATTAGATTCTGGGGAGAGGAAAGCCCTCATAGAATTGAGTACGTTAGGGTTAAGCATATTTCACAATTTACTAGTTTTGGATATGTTGACAGTCAATACTCAATACCTAGATTTCTGGGAACATGTGTAACTCTCTCCGTACATACTTCTAAACGAACATATAATTAAGAGCATTCAAATATGATTTGTAACCAATATATAGGATATAATATAAATTTAAAACTATTTTGTCGTTTTGAATGATGAGAAATCGATCAACGCTGTCAGAAAATCTGTACAGAGCCCGTGATAGTAAATGGCATGTTATGATTTGCTGATTTTATACTCTTTCATATTACTGAATGTATATTGTGATTAAACAAAATTGGAAAAAGGGGACCCAAGATATGGTTTTGGATTGAGGAGGAGCATGTGGATTGAAATAAGTGCATTGTTTGTATTCTTTAATTTGGATGCATTTCCGCTAATGCCACCACGTGCAGATCACTTTACCACTTTGATTCCTAAAGCATTCATTATTTCCACTGTATAATATATCATTCATAATTTGTAAGAACATATGGTTTTGAAGTATATAATTTTTTTGAAAAATCATGATAAATTTGTGGATTTATTGATAACTTGTTCTGCTGGGGTATAATTGTATAAAGTATACCCCGGCCTTTTCGTAGTTTTTAATCACAAAACATGTAGGAAAATGTTCATTCAATTTGTTGTACCGCTTAAATTTACAACTTTAAAGTAGTTTCTGAAAACTTATCCTGTTCTAACCATTAGAAACTCCATCTTATTGTAGAGTACCAGTTGGAGCTGTTACCAAAAAAAAAAAAAAAAAAAGAGTACCAGTTGGAGCTTGTAGTTGTTATAACTTATAACCACAAGCTAGCCGTAAAAATGCTAGAGGTCGTAAAGATATCCTTGATCTTACGATGGGGTTGATTAAAGCTTAATTAGCTAGTTGTATAATTCTTATCAACTTCTCTTTGCGTAAGTATTATATTCTTTCTAAAGACCAATAAGGAGAGTAGATTGGCGCTCAAAGAGATCGTGAAACGATATGAATTCGAAGGAGATGATTAATGCCGAGAAATCCTCCATTATCCTCTCCAAAAAAGCTACGGGCTCTTTGTAAGAAGCTGTGAAATATGATTTGAAAATTCAAAACGGAGGAGGGGGGGAGGGGTGTAGAGGTGTGAACAATCATCAACCTCCTTCCAGTGAAAATGAAGACTTATCGTGCTTTATTGATGCTGCTTGGAATACTACTACACGTAATTTAGGGATTGAAGAGACGATCTAGATATGTACCTATCTGGTTTCAGGCATCAAGAAACTTTGTTATTTCGGTTTTAGTGGCGGGGTTGTTAGCTATGCGCAAGGCAATTTTGGATGCTTTTGTGGCTAATGCCCACTCTCTACTGATTTTCTCTGATTCGCAGGTGTTAGTTAGGATGCTGCAAGCTAAGGGCTCAAGTAAGGAGATTAGCGGCATTCTTATTGATATTGAAGCTTGCTTTTTCTATCTTATTCATAGATCATATAATTTTGAGGTTGCTTCTGTGGCAAAATCAGCTCTCTTCTTTATCAACTCATCCTCCCTTGCTGAGGAGTAAACTTGTTGTCTTTCTTAATTTCAATGAATTGTAGTTTGACCAAAAAAAAAATGTTCCTAGTTGCATAAACAAAACCCATTTATAACCATAAGTATAGGATGCTTTTAAAAGGCTAATCCTCGTGCTCAAAGTATTTTGAAAAATGATAGGTACATATATTTAAAATACATAATGTATAAAAAAAGAGAAATGGCTAAACAAAGAAGGTTTCAGAGTGCTTGCCGTGGTTCGTTGTGATCGTGTGTTAAGAAGAAAGCATTTTTACGGAAAAATATTCATTGTGAAATTATCAATAAATTTTTTTTTTGAACAATTTTATTGATAATTACACAATGAAATTATCAATAAAGTTAATCATCAATATCGCATATGTTACAAATAGTTTATCATCATTTGTAACATAGATTATATAAAAGAATATATTTATCCATTTCTAAACTTAAGTTTCACCATTGTTTTTTCTTCTTTAATTAACTTAAACATATGGAAGCAATACCGCTCAAAATTCATTGCCGATATACTAAACTACACCCACCAATTATGATTCTCCCTAATCTGAAATTAGACACGTTCCCCCAAAATTGTAGTTTGCCTAAATTCTCTCATTGCCTCTACCCTCAAATAGCCAAAAAATCACTGGTCAAATATGTAGTTAGTTTATATCTATATATATATTTGTGTAAATCAAATCAACATCCTCATCAAATCTCACAACAACAAGAACAACGACAACAAAATGTCTACAAAATCAATCATTTTACCTTTTCTTCTCCTAATCATACTTGTCTCCACTTCTCAAGCAAGTCGTCAGCTCTGGGAAGGACTGAACAATCATTTGGGATCCAAATCCGGGCTTAATGGAATTCCTGGGTTTCATGGGAAAGTAAATTGGATGAATCCAACACATACATGCACAATGCAAGGACCTTGTCAGGGTAAGAAGCTCACGTGTCCCGCAGAGTGCTACAAATCATCCAACGTTAACAAGGAAGGTTATCAAAGCAAGAGCAAGAGTGGAGGATGTTCATTTGACTGTACTAAAAAGTGTATCGCCTCTTGTTAATTTGGACATAATATATATATATATATATATATGTTCTTATGTTATATTATCTTATTGTCTATATACAGTATGTTGTTTCAAAAAAAAAGAAGAGAGTCTATATACAGTATGTTAAAACGGTAACTGTATTAACTGGAGAGTTTGTTTCTCTTTTGTATAGATACATTTTGATTAGTAGTGTTATATGATTCTATGTACATAATATGTTTACGACTGAAATAATATTTTTGCGTTTATTAAGTCTTATCTGTAGCTTGATTGAAAAGTAAAAAGGTAAACAAGGTAATTTAACACTTTTTAACACTTTGATTTAGAGGATTTACATTACATAATTTAGTCTACATATATCTAAAGATGAGCAAGACAGTAAGTTATCACATGGCTCTTTTACTTTGGATGATAAAAATATTCATCTATGCCACTAATAAGTCAAATTATTAATATTTTGGTTCCGTGCATGTTTTTTTTTTTTTTTTTTATCTTTTGGAATTATACATTATTCTTTTTTTTTTTTTACAACGAAAGGCTGATCTATTACTCAAGCTTGAGTTGGTCTGGTAATCCAGACCGGAATAGAACAACCAACAAACAAAAGATCACGATAGAAGGATCTGACAGTCTTAGCTAGGTGATCAGATACCGCATTTTGAGATCTAGGAACATAAGAGATTTTAAAATCTGGGAAACAAATCCTTAACGTCGAAATCCTCTCCAGTTCCGTCGAAAAGCTTGGCCATCCCTGAGGATTCATGAGCATTGCTACCAATTCTTTGCAGTCCGTCCCAAAGCTCTGACATGGCGAATGTTGAAGCATGTTCTCCATTGCCCACCGCAGCACTTCCAGCTCCGAATGCAAAGCCGACTCCACTCTACTCATATTGCGCATCCCCATCAACTGGCTATCCCCCTTACTATCCTTCCAATCCCAACCACAACCAGAGAACTGATCCATAGAGGTCCAAGAACCATCTATCATACATATATCTCGTAGGCTTATGGCCTGACAGTCATTATCCCCGTTCTCATGTGTACTCACAGCTTCTTTCTCATTAGCTTGGAACCAGGCAAGACACTCACTCTCAGCATAACGAGCCAGTTCCAGAGGGTCTCTATCTATTCCCCTAAATAGCTTATCATTCCGAGCCTTCCAAATATACCATATTATCCAAGGATAAGGATCCTTGTCTAGATCTGGCCCACAAATGATCTTCTTCCGCCAAAAGAGGTAGTCCATATTCGAATATGTGCTCGAATTATACATTATTCTTTATATAGGTGCATTTCCGGAAAAATATATCCATATATATATATACAAAAAATATTAACTGTAACTTACAAATGAAATAAATGATTTTTTTTTAAATCACTAAATTATTTTAAATGGTAAAATAAATATATGATTTGCAACTTGCAAGTAATGTGAATATAAGATCTAAGATTATTGTATCTTAATAACTGTAAATAATAAATAAAAATGTTACATATTGGCTTACAAAACTCAACTACACTTTCAATACTGATATGAAATTAAAATATATATACTTTAAGAAGCCATCGAGAGACAGACACAATATAAGATAAATCTACAAGAAATAATGAAGAAAAAATTAATTTGGAAGACTTTTTTTTGGCAACTTAATTTTATTAATAGATAGTTAGAAATGATACAAATACATATATAATACAATAACTACATAGCGATAAATATAATAATGAAAATGAGCAGGGGGAACTATAGATTATATGAAGGAAACTGTAAAAACAATTTTCCTTCTGAAGTCTTCTTGCGAGCTTGAAATCTTCATCACATCATAAATACCAAATTCTCTTGTTGTATTACATTGACCTTATTCCAGATGAGAACTATAGATATACACCGGTTTAGAATTCAGTCTATTGATTCAACCATGAAAATAAAATATGGAATAGTCAACTTTCAACGATTGTAAGGATATCACCATACAACAAAGAGAAACCATTTTCTCTTCCATATTGTCGTTTTTTCCATGGTGTATTCCATGGTTTCAACGATAGTTCAAACTGTACCATATATTTTGTATCGAAATATACATTCTAAAAGATTTTTCATCTATTTCTAAAGTTGATCTTCTACTTCTGGTCTCATCATGTAATTTCTTCAACCAGTCTAGTAATTCTTCTGGATCCCGAATTCTTCAACCAATGCACCATTTACATCTATGAAGAAATGGTGTTGCATTCAAAAATTGACAATATCTTTTCAAACTTACATCGCAATAGACATTTTCTACCATGGAGATGAAGAATATTGGAGTAGAACCGCCGTAAAACTGTCCCACACCAACACCATAATTGGATTCCAATAACCCGTTTTGTACAGAACAATGATGCACTTAACTTGCAATTGATGATGTTTGAACTGGTTCAAGATCGTTAATACCTAGAATTTAATTGATGACCATCACCGGCAAATCAATGCGGTTCATACCTTTGGTTATAAGAAAGAGAGGAAAAAGAACACTATATATGTGTCTTTAGATAAGAGCCAAACCCATGACCAATATCAACATCAAACTCATCGTGAAGATGTTAAAGCGTAGAATTATCACCGGAAGACACTATTATTGCCTTGATCAGACCAAGACGCCACCACCTTAATTAAAAAAAATAATAATTTGAGAAATTATACAAAACAAATAAATTAAAAATAGGCAACGCCATTATAAAAATATAACACAATCTTGTTAAAAATCACAACAATTGTATTAAAAGTCACCGAGGCTGGTCTTTTACAACAAACAAATGAAAGATAAATGAGTAATAAGAATATATAAAAAGTATCAAAATAACGATCCATACATAATATTGAAATTAAATCTTTCAAACTAAAAACAAATTAAAAAAGGGAAAATTTCATTTTTACACTTTCTTTGGTACCACTATTCAACTTTACCATCAATCAAAGGATATTTTCAAAAATACCTAATTCATTAATGTTTAAAAGACTAAAATAACCTTTCCTTATCTTCAATCCATTAACGCCTCTTCTCAGATCCATATTCTCTCGCGGAGATGCGCTGTAGCCGTATTCATGTGCTTCACCGTGTCTGTCTTTAACGAGTTCGTCGTCTTCTTCATTCGGTTTTGTCTTCATCAAACCTGTCATTGATGTATTAATGAGCTTCACCGTGTCTGTATTTAACGAGCTTGTCGTCTTCTTCAACAATCTCCGGCTTCGTCTTCATTGAGCCTCGCCGTCGCTGTATTCATCATTTTTACTCTGTTTGTCTTTACGAGTTTGTGTCTTACTATCAATCGCTCTTTCTACAATGAATTATGGAAGTAAGGATTTTCAAATTAGCTTCTCTCTTTCTCTTCCAAATATGTTGATTTAGGTTTTTTTTTGCTGATTAGTGACAGTGCTGTCTGTCTTTGTTCCTTACACGTTCCGGAGAAGTTTCCAGTGAGTCAGTTATTTCAATGAAGTTAAGTTTGTTCTTCGAGAGGCGACAGAATGAGAGTCATATCGAGAGTGATTGAGTCATATAAATCTGTAAAGGTTGAATCAGTTTTGTTTAAGATTCATATTTTGTTTACATTCATAGTTTTTGGGTGTTTTCAATTTCAGTCTCTGCAAATGTACAAGCTTGAAAACCAAGTACGCTGAAAAGAATATTCACAAAAAATGATGACTTTGGATGATGTACAGGTAAAGATACTATGGAGAATTAACTTATTTTGGCTTCAAAGCACTAGTTTCTTAGTTTTTTTTTTTAATTTACAGGTGCTTAACTTTGTTTCATTTACTTGGTCCACTGTGTCTTCAAAATTTTACTTGTCGTCAAGTAGTCTGCCTCTCATGATCTCTTCCTAGAAAGGCCATTGCTTGGTATGTTAACTGTTCATGTTTTTTTTTTTTTTGTGGGTTTTATATCTTTCGGTTTTGATTTGTGTTTTATCTGTTGTTAAGTCTCTTGGGGTAAGAAAGTGCTATTGGTTGGTGGAAAAACAGATCCCAGCAGTGATAGAGTTTCAGGTTTCACATTGCTATTTTTTTAGATTCTAAAGTCAAGATTTTATACTTTACACTCTGCTTAAGACGGTGTTGTATGTTTGTATATATTACTTGCAGTTTGGTCATTTGATACTGAATCCGAATGCTGGTCGCTAATGGATGCAAAGGGAGACATACTGGTAAATTTTCTAAGTCCTCTCAATATTATTTACAAGTTATTGGCTCGAAGAAACAAGTTTTACTCGTTTAAGTAATTGCAGGTCAGCCGCAATGGTCACACAGTGGTGAGGGCTAGCTCGGTACTGATCCTTTTCGGCGGTGAAAATTCTAAGAAGAGAAAACTAAACGTTCTTCATATGTTTTATCTCAAATCATCTACATGGCTCCCTTTTAACTGCATGTGAGTTGTTTTTTTTCTCCTTCTTCTAATGTCAGTTCACATGAAACTCTTGTGATTTCTTGAAACATTTTTTTGATTAATAACCAGGGGAACACGACCGTGTGCAAGATCAAATCATGTAGCTACACTATTTGTTAACAAGATTCTGTTTGTGTTTGGAGGTTTTTTTTTTTTTTGTCAACTGCATATCTTATAAAATAATAAAACCGGCCTACGGCCTAAAAGGTTTAAAAGTTTAGCCCACTTGGGCGATAAAGCCCTTTAAGGTAATTTTTGCCAAACAGTCGGCCTGCAAGTTTTTAGAACGAGGAAGAAAGACAAAAGCGATATCGACGAAAACAATGGAGATTTGGCGGATATCTTGGAGGATTCCGTAGATCTCTTTGATCTGTGCGTCGGTGTTGATAGCTCTGATGAGCGTTTGGTTGTCAGAGAGGATTTTGATCTTTGGGAGACCAAGATTCGCTGCTGCGATGATTCCGAGTCGGAGTGCTAAAGCTTCTGCGACCAGTGGTGAGTTGATGAAGTCCTGTGGTGCCGATCCCTGCTTACTGATGGTATTTTTAGAATCTGAGATGATCCACGCTAGGCCCGCTTTGTTAGAGGTCTTATCCCAAGCCGCATCCGATTTGGATGTAGGGATCTCTGTGGCGGCGTGCTGAGATGGTCCATTCAAAGTACATCCAGGTACATTCAGTGAAGATCTTGAGCCTCCTTGCGCAAAACACCATTCTCGTGCTAACTTTAGCCCTTTTGTAGCCACATCCTTCTGTGGGATTAGACGATTTTCGAATAGTAACGTGTTCCTTGCTGTCCAAAGCGCCCAGCAAATCCATGGGAGGATTGCTCCTGAGATTCCAGTGGGGGGTAGACAGGTAAACTTTCGGAAAGCCCGTGTTATCTCTTTGAAATCCGTAGTCGTAGGGAAGGAGATTCTGTTAAGTAGTGGTATTCTGTCCCACACCTCTTTAGCAAACGGACACTCAAAGAAAATGTGCATTGCTGATTCCTTTTCATTACACCTCACGCATTGTGTTTGATTATGGAGTCCTCTGTTTTGCAGATTTTCACCAAGGGGTAGAGCGCTTTGGATAATGGACCATAAGAAGACTTTCATCTTTGGGGAGCAAGTAATGGACCATACGTCACAGATCCAATCAAATGTGTCTGTGGTCTTCTCCGTTTTCTTTTGACCTGCCATTGAGGCTATTGCATAGCCTGATTTGGTAGTGTAGATTCCTGATGTTGTTGGTGTCCAAATGAATCTATCTTCTGCTCCTCTATTGCTGGGATGGATACAGAGAATTTGCTCCGCCAAAAGGGGAAGTATCTCGTGAACTCTTTTCGTATTCCATTGCATTTCATCAGTTAACAGATCCGATACTGTTAGGTCTAGTTGGGCTTCTAGGATAGGTCCTAACGGTTTTAGGGGTTCCGTTAGAGATATCCAGGGATCTTGCCAAACTTTTGTTGTTATCCCATTGCCTATAGCTTTTCCGATGCACTCTTTGAGTAGATTTAGGCCATGTATAATGCTTCGCCATCCATGTGAACAAGCTGATGATGCTTCCGCTTTCATAAATGCTTGTTTGTGACAATACTTTCCTAACAGAATTCTTGCTAGTAGACATTCTGGCTTCGTTAGGATTCTCCATGCTTGCTTCGCCAGTAGGGCTTGATTGAATAGTTGAATATCTCTGAAACCTAGACCTCCTCCTGCTTTTGGTTTTGACATTTTATCCCAACTAACCCAACACATTTTCTTTTTGTCAGCGGAATCATCCCACCAGAAACGCGTTAGTACTGATTGTATACGCTTACAAAGGCTGGCTGGGAGCTCGAACACGGACATGGAGTATGTTGGAATAGCTGTCAAGACAGATTTGAGCATAGTAAGTTTACCCGCTTTTGAAAGGAATCTCATTGATCTGGTTGAAGCACGTTGTCTGATCTTGTCCACTAGAGACGTGAAGAGATCACGTTTTTTCCTGCCAAAGTGTTAGAGATCACGTTTTTTCCTGCCAAAGTGTTCAGGGAGTCCGAGGTATTTCCCTGAGCTACCTTCTTTTGATATGCCTAGTAGGTTTTTGACTAGAACTTTTTTCTCTTCTGGTGTTTTTGTGGAGAAAGTAACAGAAGATTTATCCTTGTTTATCCTCTGACCAGATGCTTGTTCGTATTGCAGGAGAATATTCGTCAGTGAGATGCAGTTTTCCTCAGTGGCTTGACAAAAGAACATTGTATCATCTGCAAAAAGCAGATGATTTACCTCTGGAGCGTTTCTGGCCACCTTAATACCGCGTAAGGTTCCTTTTTCACTTGCCTTAGTACATAATCCTGATAGGACCTCTCCGCATAAGATGAATAGATATGGGGATAGCGGGTCTCCCTGTCTTATACCCCTCTGTGGCCTGACTGATCCTTTAGCCGTGTCGTTTATAAGATAGGAATATGAGACCGTTGAAATGCATTGCATTATCCAGTTTACCCAAATCTCATGAAAACCCATACGTAGCATCACTTGTTCTAGGAAGTTCCACTCAACCCTATCGTATGCCTTGGACATGTCTGTTTTAACAGCCATGGAACATCTTACTTGAGCTTGCGATGTCTTCAAATAGTGTAGTACTTCATGTGTTATGAGTACGTTGTCTGAGATAGCCCTTCCTGCTGTGAAAGCTGACTGGTTTTCTGAAATGACCCCTTCTAGCACCGGTTTAAGTCTCAAAGCTAACATTTTAGAGATGATTTTAAAAAACACATTGCACAGTGCTATTGGTCTGTAATCCCCTACTGTTTTGGCCCCTGTGTGTTTTGGAATTAACCTCACATGTGTTTCATTTTGCGAGGACCGGAGTACTCCTGTGCAAAAGAAGCTTTGGATCTCTTGGGTCACTGCTGGACCCACCACCTCCCAGTTCGCTTGAAAGAAACTAGCTGAAAAACCATCGGGACCCGGGGTTTATCTGGATGGATTGCGAAAGTGGCTTCTTTAACTTCCGCTGCTGATGGACTTCTTATAAGCAGCTCATTTATTTCCGGTGTTATGCAGGGTTTAATGGCTTCGTTGACTGTGTTGGACCCATTATGGCCCGAAGTTTTGAAGAGGTTGTTGTAGAAGTTACAGATCACTGAGATTATTTTATCCTCTTCGTAATGTGCCAGACCCTCATCATCTTCCAAGACAGTAAGTCTATTTCTTGCTTGTCTTTCCTTTGTTGACGCATGGAAATAGGAAGTATTAGAGTCTCCAAGAGTTAACCACAGCTGTCTACTCCTTTGTTTCCAGAATTCTTCTTCCTTCTTATAGTTTTGGAGTAAGCTCATGTTCAGTTGATAGATTTGTTCCTCTTTGACTTTAGGATCCATCATCGCCTCATCTAGTTGCTCTTTTAATTTCTCAAATGTTTGTCTGCTATTCTCATAAAATTCTTTGCTCCATTTACAGATTGCACGGCGGCAAAGGGAGAGTCTCTCCTCTACATGTAGATGCGGCACACTGTTCCAGGTATCCTTGATGATTTGTGTGACCTCCTGGTTATCTTTAAGGCGTCTGTCAAACCTGAAGATTATATTTCCTTTCCTCCGAGTTGTGTCCAGGAACGTTAAGAGAGGACGATGATCCGAGCCTTCGTACTTAAGATAGTGGCTTCTGCAGGAAGGATATAAATCAGCCCATCCACTATTACACATTGCACGGTCCAATCTGCAAAGGACGACATGTGAGTTTCTAACTCCTCTCCAGGAATAGAAATTTCCTTGGTGCTTGATGTCAAAGAGATCGTTTTGTGACAGGAAAGTTCGAAAGGCACAAAACGTCCCTTCAGGTCTTACGATTCCTCCACTCTTCTCTCCATTGTCAATGATTTCGTTGAAATCACCCGTCAGGAACCAAGGGCTCTCCCCGCTTGTGTGAAGGTTTGTAATTTGGTTCCACACCGGGAATCTTTTTGTATGATCCGGTTCGCCGTATACGAAGGTACTTTGAAAAGACTTCCCTTTATGTGTTATCTCTGTATCAATAAAGTTGTTTGAAGACGTGGTGATCGAAATTTCGATGTCTTTTTTCCATATTAGGAGATTTCTTATCAGGAGATTGTTCGTTTGCTTTGGGTGAGTGTACCTCCAGAGATTTCTTACTGTCTTTGTTGAGCCATAGGTTGGGGCATTCAGTACTACTTACTGCTTGCATTGCTAGCTCAAAATCCATTCCTGGAGGGCTTTCTTGTTGGATGCCACGCTCCCATGGAGATAGGGATCTTCTGTGTTCCCCATTTGTAGCCATTATTGCATTTACTACACTGTCAGTTTGTCCTTCCGCTTCTCCCACTAAGACTCTTTGACGTCTTGCTACCGCTTCTATCGGGTCAGAAGTACTCAGGTATTAGAGTGTAGCATTCTGTACTTCCTGGAAAATTTTATCCCTTGTACTCGAATTGTCTAGTTGAGGGCTCTGATAATTGGACTTCTCTTTATCAGGTGCGATACCGTTGGCTCTCATGATGTATGACGCAGTTTCCTCTGTTTGACCGTTGGTATCAGTAGCCAGGACCCTTTGTCTCCTAGCCGCTGCTTCGGTAGGATCTGGGTGGTTTACATACCGTAGCGTTGCTTCATCCAAGTCCTTTCTTATTTCATCTTCGGTTTGATACCGCGTTGGGTTCTGCTGAGAAAGATCGTTCTGCGACTGGTGTGGATTTTTAACTCTCCATTCCCTAGTCTCCCTTTGAGGGAATAGCGGTCGATTTATTCCATTTCTCGCGTCTCTTGTTTCTCTTGTTCTGGTAAACGATGGAGATTTGTAACCTGTCTCATTTGTTTCTTGTTCAGCCGAAATTTTCCTCCAGGTTACGTTATCAGATTTTCCTGGTCTTGTCTCGGTTGGTGGGGGTGGTGGGACTCTTGTCTGCTTAGTAGAGACTCGATTTCCAAAAGGATTGCCGTATCTGTCGAGTCTCTCTTGGTATCTCTCTTGACCTCCCTTATATCCTGAGTCTGCTTTGTCACTCCTGGGTTTGTCTAATGTTTTTCTGGAGTTATTGAGAATAGGAGTGTGTAGTCTCCTGTCTTGTTCTGAGATTTTGCGGTGGTAGTATGGTTTATACTCCAACTCTGGATCTTTTCCTGTGGTTGCAGTTGCTTCGAGCTTGCTTTCTTCCAGTTGAGGGCAGTCTTTCTTCAGATGCGACAGAGAGTTGCAAATATCACAGTGATTTTCCAGTCTTTCATACTCCAGGTGAATGAGACTCTCCTCCCCTGTGTCGAATTCTACTATCGACTTTTTAGTTAGCGGTTGTAAGCCATCGATTAAGACTTTGACTCTTGCGGTTTTCTTTGCCAGTTCATGGTCCAGGAGTGTTCCTAAAGCCTTTCCTATGTAGCAGACCATATCATCCATCCAAAAGTGAAGAGGGAGACCCTTAATACGGATCCAGAACGGGATCTGGGAGGGGAAAGTCGGAGAAATGATCGGTTCCCACCTTTGTAAGATGACCATCCAATAGTTATACTGGTACGGTCTATTGTCAAGCACTCTCTGGAGATCTTCTTCTCTGTCGAACCTAAATTGGAAGCAGCCGTTTCCATGGTCAGATCCGGTAGCTCGGCCTTGGATGTGCCATTTGCGAGGTAGTGCAGGTATGAGCGCATAGATCCTTTGCTCCTTTGGGTTGGTGACTCTACCGATGAGTGTTAACGCATTATCTTTGATTAGGGCTGAGTTATCCACATTAGGGGCTTTGATGCGCTTGATGAGTGGATCATCTCTTGCTTGGATAGGACCCTTTCCTTTTTCCTCCTTTGTAAAGCGGTGTGCCATGGCTTAGGTGATATGTTTGTAGGATGTGAAAGAGATGGAGGTTGTTGCTTGGAAGAAAACGGGAGAAAGCCTTTGATTCCGAGAAAACGCTTGCAAGATCTGGTGAAGATTTTTGGTTGGATTTTGGAGTTTGAAAAATTTCCGTGGAGGATGTTTCTTCTGAAAAAAGAATAGGGCTTCCCAGCTGGTGCTTAGAAAAACCCCGCGATTTCTTTCCACTCTTGGTAGCTTCTTGATGTGTCGTTTTCAGGTAAATTGACCGTTGGGGTTTGAGCTATGCTGTCTTGGGAATCGTGTCTGGGAGAGTCCTTTCTCACCGAGACATCTCCTTTTTCACGGTTTTCTGTTTTAGATTTCGTTATTAAGTTTGTGTTTGGAGGTTCGGGCAAGAATAAAACATTTAATGACCTTATACTCACTCGACTTTGAAACCATAATGCTTTTCACCGGCACCATTATTACTAGATAGAGTATTATTATTTTTCTTGACAATTATTATTTGTTATCTTGTCATCATCAAGTTCATATATCATTAGCAAAACTTTATAAATCTGTATTAGGGTTACAAGAGTATAAATTAGTTACAAGTGTTTATAAATCATTTATAAGGCTTTATAAAATTTATAAGGGTTTATAAAACAATTAATAAAATGATCAAACCTTATGCAAATAATTTATAAGTCATTAGAAGACAACACGTTGACGATTATGAAACTTTTATGCACGAGTTATACTGAATAAGTTAATAAGTTAAATATTTTCATATAAATATCATATAAAGTCTTATAAAACTGATTTAATTTATAAAATCATCTAAAACCTTTGCAAACTTTATAATACATTATAATTATAATTATATAAAATTTAAAATCTTGAAGAGTTTACAAATACCCTAGGTGAAGTTTTATAAGAATTTATAAATATTTTATAGGGGATTATAACATTATTTATATGAACTTATAAATATAAACTTAGAGAATTTTTCAACGTTTTTTTTAAATCGACTTAATAAAATTGTTATAAGGACTAAAAAATAATTTATAAGACCTTATAAAATCCAGAAAACTTATACAATATTATAGAACGTTGACAAATTTTATGAAATAGATTTAGAAACTCTTATAAGAGTATATATAAAATCATTTAATAATCCTTTATAAAGGATTATATTGTTATAATCCCCTATAAAATTATTTTATAATGATTTATAAACTATTTATAAGCTTTAAAAGTCCTTTATAAGTGTTTATAAATAATTTATAAGGGTTTATAACACATTAATAAGGTATCTACATTTATAAGAGTTAAATCTATTGGTCTACGAGGAATCTTCTCTACTATTTCAAAACCCCTGAGAAAAGTTGGAAAATTGATGAACAAGGCTTGACTCCCGTTTAAGAAAATACCATGTTATTTTTCTAGTTGATAAACCTCGATAACATTTTCTCTTAAAAACTTCATGAGCAGGCATTAAGTGAGGCTTCCCAAACTCAAGAAATTCAAGATTTGTCAGAGAGTGTGAAAGTTTGGCTCAAGGAGTTTTCTCTTTTTAAGGAATCATATCTAGACCTCGCCCAAACCTCTAATAAATTCCTGGAAGGTGAGTTCCTCTCAGATTCAGTCCTCCCGATTCGGTTAGCAGCACAAAGAGCAGTCAGTCGGTATGAGGGGCTTCTCACACCTGTTAGTCCTCGTGAAAAGCTCTTCAGAAAGTTGGTCACGTGGATTGGGCTTATGAAACACCATTTCAGCTTGCTAATGAAATCTTTCTCACTAAATCATGTTATGATCTTTGGTTGCTGAAACTGAAAGAATCAACGTGCCAATATCATATATGTTTTTCAAGACTAGGCTTGGCATTTGATTGCCCGAGTGAACCTGCATATGTTCAGTTAGTATAAACAAGTGTGAAAGTTCATTCCATGTGTATATATTATCACGTTCAATTTTTGAAATTAAACACATAATCCCTTACATCATGTTTTCTAAACCTTCAACCTGATTTGTATTACTGTCTCTATAAGGATTTAAAAAATCATATCAATATTCTTCATATCTGTATCTATAAGAGCTTATAAATATATTTTAAAAGCTTATGTAAGATTTTTATAAAGGGTTTATAAAACAATTTATATGGATTTGC